TTTGTCGGCTCAGCGCGGCAGCCATGTAAATTTAAATGAAGCCGCGATCATTTAAATCGCGGCTTCATTTGCCTTTGCCAAAACAACAAATCTACATGGCTCCGTCGACGGAGCCATGTAGTTTAGACATACCCAAAGTTTCACTCAGGGCACTATACAGAAGTTAGACAAATGCCTGATGTACCTAGTGGTCCTGGGCAAAATAACTGTATCAAGCACAGGTGGGAGTAAACTGTCTTGGTCTCTGTGTTCATACAAGATTGCACTGGAATTGCAGCGGGATCACAAGCAGCTGAGTTCTCCCATCGTCACGGAATGTGTGAAGCACCAACATGTGCACTCCATGTGCAGCAGCTCAGAGTTCTCCAATCAGGTGTCACAATCAGTGTCAGGAGGTCACAGCTCTCCCGCACTTCCCACATTTGCAAACAGGATGGGTTGGCCCAGGAAGTGGGAGGAGTCACTGGTGGGAAAGCTCAAGAACTGCTGCTGTAGTGGCAGCACGTCTAGGCTCTCTGGGCAGCATCAGGAGGAGAGAAAGGGGATAGCCGTTTGTATCGGAGACTACAGAGACATTGCAATTTCCCCTGACATTTTTCTGTGAACTGCCTTCATCTGTCTACTTCACCGAACTTCAGAGGGTGACTCCCTTAGCCCCATTGTGTGGCACTGACGGATAAAGGAGCAGCCGCCAGAGTCTTTTCATACACTTTATGCTCTTGACAGTAAAGATTTTTAGTGCAGGGTTAGGTCAGAGCCAGAATTTCTGACACTCAGGTCACCCCCTTGGAAAGGGAACAAACAACATTGGCACCACTGCCATAGGAGGGAAACGAGGCGAAATTCATCCTCCTGGGAAAAGCAGAAGTCAAACCAGGGCTGGCCCACAACATTTTGGCATCTGAGGCAGGGAGCTCAAATGACGCCCCCATACTCCCTCGCTTGGGCCAAAACCTTGAAAGGTCTCAATTCTGCCTTCTTCCTTTTCTGCTCCTCTCACAGTACTGCAGAAAGAATACATATGCACCAGAAGCAGACACTTTTCTACACTTTGGGTCTTAGTGGCACCCCTCCCCCACAGTCTGGCACCTGAGGTGGCCGCCTCAGTTCACCTCATGGTAGGACCTAAAACACACACAATCAACACAGGGCGACCCCATGGAAGGCATGAAACTCCTTTTCCTGGTGTTAGCAGAATTTGAGATGTACAACATGCTGTGCTGGATCTGTTGGAGGATGGACACACCTGTGGAGGGTCACCTATTTGTCCCATCTGTTATTCCAGCACCTACAGAGCAGAAGGGATTGCAACTGCACTTTCTCTTTTGGCCACCAGAGGCAGCTCTCATAGCTAAGAGTTTGGGGGGAGGACAAAAAAGGGTGAAAGGAGATGAGAGAAAGGGAGGCTCAGGCTAAAACTAGGAAGTGGGAGAGGGATCAAAGCAGAGGCAGCATGTGAAGGTGTGACTCGGGGCATTATACACAAGTTGGACAAGTGCCTGATGTACCTGGAGGACCTGGACAAAGCGATTGTATCCAGCACAGCTGGGAGCAAAATGCATGAATACAGGGACCGAGACAAGGTGGCATTCGAGTTTCAGAGGGAGCCCAATTTGTAGGCTAAAACGAACGCTTGCTGCCTCCTTCCCTCTGCCCCTTCGACAGCCCCTGAGGCCTGCCTTTAGAGTAGAGCCCACCGGTCTGACAGCAGCAGGGTGAGCTGCTGTTTTAGATTGTCTCCCTTCCAAGACAGTCTAAAACAACAATGCAAACCCTGCTTCATTGGCCTCCCCTCCTGTACAAGCTTGTTCCTACTGAGCCTGAGTTAAAATGCCAATGGGGAGGCAGCACATGCCGAGGGAATACGTTGTGCCCTCTCTGTCCTCATTAGAGGGCTCTGCTGCTCTGCCCTGGAAAAGCTCGATTCCTGAAAGGTTTTAAGATACAGCCTCAGAAAGCAAGCATGCTTGCTATTC